ATATAAAAAAAAGTTCGGTTTGGGATGGAAGATCTTAGGAAACTGGGAAAGGACAAAAAAAAAAAAAAAAAAAAAAAAAAAAAGACCTCTCCTCCTAAATTGGGGGTTTCTGGCTCTAATTCCAGCCTCTGAGGGTTTTCGCCCAGTGCTTCCAGAATCTCTTGGCTTCCCCTTCACCTCATCAAATGCTGCTTAAGTCCCAAGGCCCAGGTGAGATGGCTCCTTTGGAAGTTCTCCTACAGTGTTGTCCCTGCACCTCTCAGTCCCCAAAAGTTTCAGAACTGGAAATCTGCAGGCGTCCTCAGTGACTTTCATCTTCACTGAACAGTAAGCAATCTGAAGGCCAGAATGGATTCATTACGTCTCTCTCTCTCACCCTCCCCCCCCCCCCCCCCCCCTCGGATTTTCTCCCTCAATCACTGATCTTGTTCACTGGCCCCTGGTTCCCAGCATAATGCACTGGAAAGAGCATGGGCCCTTAGCCTGAGAATCAATCTTGTCCCTTTCTTCTGTTTTGTGACCCAGGGCAAGTTCCTGGACCTCTCAAACCTTCATTTTCTTTATTTGTACGTGGGGAATAGTGCATGACACTTAGGAATATGGCAAACAATAGTAATTAATAATTATCATTGCTTGTTTCCATGAGTTGGCAGAATCAGAATTGTCCACAGAACCCAAGGCTGGGTCTGAGAAACTTTCCATTTTAATTTAGTCATCTCCTCCAAACAGCCTAGGTCTTTCTGGTCACCAGTCTATGGGTGGGCTTGCATTTCTCTCTCCAGGCAGGCTTTCTCTCCTCCCCTTAGAGAGCTAGTTGTTGCTGATTCTCTTGGGGCTGTCCAAGCCTTGCACTCCATCAGTCAATAGAGATAAATTACAAAATCATTTATTTGTTCTTGTTACCTAGAGAGCAGTGTGAATTTGCCTTGCTTTTGAAAACCGCCACATTTGCATATCTCTATGCTGGAGTCAAAGGCTGCAGCTGTGGTTTCATTACAATTTAAATATTAATAAAACCTCCTAGACCTCAAGCTTTTTTTTTAAAAAAAAACCCAGCAGTCACGCCCTTCTGCTTCTAGGTTGCTAATATAATCTGTCCTTGGCTTTGTTTCTGCTTATGGGGCCATTGTGGAGCTGAGGCCAACTGCTGTAACCCTGTAGATAAAAACCACTTACAGGCCCAAAGACCAAAGAAGGAACTACAGGTAACATTTTATACTATCTTATATCCCTTACCTCAGCTCGTGTTCTTAGATTTAAGTCTGTTGCAGAATCCCAGGTTGTTGGGCCCTACCTGCCAGAGTTGTTGATTCAGTGAGTCTAGGGGAGGCCTAGGAATCTGCATGCCTTAGTTCTTAGGTGATGCCATTGTTGTTCCTGCCCCACGATGCTCTTCAAAGTTTATGTTCTTCAGTCCTGTTAGGGGAATCTCTCCAGATCTGTTCTGTTCAGCCCCTCCATCCAGGATTCTTGGAAAGGCAAGAATGTTCTAGATGGATTCTTTTAACATCAGTGATGACGAATAGCAGGTCAAGGCCTGGCTCACCTACTGAGTCCCTGGAAATAATTTAGGACAGAACTCTGGGCCCACACTTCTGCCTGCTTCTTGCCTACCTTTACCACACCAGCTCCCTTATATGAGAACTCTGGGAAGTAACATGGATCTGGGGGAGATCCCACTGTCACTGAGGCTAAATTGTTTTTTTTTTTTTTTTTTTTTTT